AAGCAAGTGAAAATGGTAAAATGGTTATTCTACCTAGTTTTTACTGAGCCAAAGAGGATCCACTGCAAGGGTTCTTCCATAACATTAGAAGACTGAAAGTAAAGCTGGTGTGATGGCTTTCTCTCATGAAAGTAAAGAGTGATGTTGGGTTTATTAAATCCATTGATCATGGCCATGCAGTGCAATCAAGTGGTTCAACTGCATACTATTTTGTGAGCAATGTAGAGTTCAAATTCCCGAGAAGGTTTTATTGCAACACCCACGAAACCTACGGAAATGCTCCTATAAATGTTTATTAAGGAAGACACAATAAAAGAAAATGGCTTTTACAGAACTTTCACACAGATAAAATGTGGCCTGGATGGGTTCCAGTTTTTGTGTGTGCCATCAACTTGCTATGTGGTTGTCTTGTGGGTGATGCATACATGTGACCTCAAAATGGCCTCCAGAGCAATCTTGTGTTGGGCAATGGCACCCTGAGAACTCACTTCCTACTAACTTGGGGAATAATAATGCAGGGATCCTTTGTTGATGCTGTGTCTGCAAATGCAAAGAGGTGTTTTAAGAGCAATGGATGTCAGTCTTATGGGCTTTTAGGGAAAATTGCAATTTATGGCACGTTAGGATAAACAGTTGGATTATATTTCTGAAAAACATGTTCCATCAGGTAAAATCATTGTGATTATACGCTCTAGTAGTTTAAGCAAGGAAGTTATACTCTAAAAGGTTGAGATTGTAAAACATGTATGCTTCTGCTTAACTGTTAATCCTTCTTTGTATCTATGTTGAATAAACTACAAGGTATGTGTGTGTGTGAGAGAGAGAGGAGGGACGAGAGAGAGATCCTCATCCTTTGCATTGAACATAAAAAGCTATGCAAGTTTTTTGCTCTTGATAAACAAATACAGTACAACTACTCTACTGTTTTACTTCAATATGTAATCATAACTGGCCTTTCTATTTTGCTTCAATGGAAAATATGACTTAAAAATTGGCTTATTTAATTGATCCCTTCAGGGGGAAAATTAATCACAAGCTTAACTATCAGCAAAATCAATGGGATTGAAAAATGCTTACCTTTGATTGGACTGCAGCTCAGTTTAATCTTTTCATGCTTTCCCTTCCATAGCATTTAAAACTTTATATCTTTGGTTGGATAAACGGATTTATGTTTATATTTCACATCAGTCACCCACATCTTTTGGCATTCCTGTGGCAAAACCTGTCTCACTTTGTGGGTAACCAGCTTTTAAAGAAAATAAATATTTTGTTACCTTAGAATAAAGTAAAATAAAAGTACTTGACAATATGCTTCAATGTTTTTTCCCCAGTGCAGTCTATCCCATGTAAATGTTAAGGATCTGAAAAGCAAATTGACAAGTATTTGAAGGAAAACAATAAAACAACTTTACTGTATATTAAAAGTTACTGTCAAGCAATCATTGCATGAGGTCATGAGTGAGCTGGAAATTTTTATTTTAGGATGAAAAGACACTATGAGGCCCTTCATGTCTCTACATATTGTGCAAATAAGAAGCATGTGCCAGTCTTGACTATAAGGTGAAAAATAATCCATCCAAATTATTTCATAAATAAGTAACATCCCTTGTGGAAAACACACTGCTGATTTGTCTGTTTTTGCCTTTAGTTCTTTGAAGTCCTTTTACATTTGCTATTAATGTAACAATTATTATTTTAATCCACTTACTACTTACATATTTGTGATTTATTTTAATTGAAAATACTGCAAACTATTTCAGAGGGAAACTATTTTAGAAACATTGCCCTATATAATGTAGCTTTACCAAGATTTTTATGTTGGAAATAAGGCAGCTATTTATGAAGTGAACTGTGTAAAAAAATTTTTTTTTCTTTCACCATTTTCCCTTTTAACCTGAATGTGTAAATTCTTCTGGGTTAACAGGTACATGGTATATTGTTCTAGCGGTATGTTTTTGAGTTAGAACAAACTTGTCATTTAGAAAGTTTACATTCACCATGGAATGTATTCATCCATAGTCACCTGTTAATATTGCATACTTTTTTAAATTTAAAAATAAAATTGGGGAGAATTCATGGCTAGAGAGGGATCACCGAGATATCTTGACTATTATTTCTTTTTCAAAATCACCTTGTGAAAATGTTAAACCCTGTACAAAAGAAAACTCAGTTTGTCTTTGTAAAGTTTATCCATAGCATGGAAAGCTGCTTTTAAAAAGTTATTTACCAGTAGTTTTTAAAGGCAAAAAGGGACAGTCACCTTTATGATTCTGATTTTTAAAATCTCTTTATTTTTTCATAATTCTAAAATAACCACATAGTTATTTTAAAAATCCCTATCAGAAGGCTACAAGTGACTGGCCTGTGGTAGAAAACAGACCTAAACAGAGGAGCATTCCACCTTCTTTAACTATAAATATGACTAAAAGTTACATTTACACCCCAAAAAAGAAAAGCTATTCCTTATTACATTACAACCATAAATGGAACTAGCTACTACAAAAGGAATTAATTACAAATGGCTTATTTGTAACCTGTGGTTTTCAAGTTCTGAATTTACTAGTTTCAGAATCAGAGGCATATAACAAGCAATTAACTTCTTTGTTCTACACTTTCCAGATGCAATGCCGGGTGACAAGCTTGTTCTTGCATATTCGGGTTTCTGCCTCACAGCTGAATTCATAACCATGTTAAACCAAAGGGGTTTCTATTTCACTTGAATTCTTACTACTGAAATTGACCCAAAGTCATCACATTAACTGAGTGGTGTTTTGGGCCATACGGTACCTGGAGACGAGATTCTGTTTAATCCAAAGCTAACTATTCTAGAGTTTTCTAAAATCTACTCAGTGGAAAAAATGAGCCCCGGTCCTTGTTTGTGTAAATTATTCTAGATGTTGTCTTTGTCTAAAATTTCTTCAGCCATTGGATTTATAGCTTAATAAAATAAAACATAGAGATCTTGCTTCCCAAAAGAGTGCTTCTAGTACATACTAGCAATGTACTACAGTAAATTATTCTGCCATTAAACATGCAAATGGATCTTGGTAACAGACTTTAAATTCTACCAGTGATATAAGTATTACTTTGCTTAGCTTTCCCGAATGAATTGCTGGTGATGAAGTATATAATCAGTCCTTCACATCGCATGTTTTTAATAGCCCTTGTCTCTGTCTTTAAAGCAGCACGGTAGATGTCTCATAAAGCACCTATATTTTACTTACCTTACAAGTTAACCTCTTGCCTATAACGTATTGCGTTTGTATTCATGAATTACTTATCAGACCCCAACCCTACAAAAGAAATTAAGCACCAGCAGAGACTGGGTGGCAGTGGGATATAAATTAACGACTTACCTTATATATCTTCCAGTTTATTGGACAAAAGATAACCAAATAATTTATAAATCTAGCAAAAGTGTACTTGGTTTACTGCTAATTAATATTTGTTCACTGTGTTGAGCTATTTTAGTACAGGTTTTGTCTTGCTCTGAAAATTCTCCTTTGAGAGAAAATATTGTGAATGAAGCTAAACATATTTTGGGAAAAATAACCTTATGGCTAGCTAATAATTACCTTTTCAAGCTTCTTGGCTAGATATGCTCTTACTAGGAGCAAGAAGAAACCAGAAAACGAGTGCTTCAAGTTGGTTCAAAGTATATTACAAGGAGGAAGCATAACAAGTTACTTAGCTCTAGAAAAAGAAAAGCTCTCCAAAAACTCTGTATATTCACATACATATATTAAACATTTACTGCACTTCCACATTGAAAACTCTTTCACAGAGAACTTTCCTTTGCAGTCTTAAAATAAATATTTCACAGACTTTTAGTAACCTATGGCATGGCTTCTGTTTATTAGAAAGTTTCTGTATAAGGTCTGAAGGAACTTTTTAAAATTGCTCTAGCAGACAGTTCTCTGCTAGGATCCCTGCTCTTACACTTTCCAGATAACAGAGAGAACTGTTTATAATATGGAATATGTGTATGATAAACCCTTGAGGGGTACTGGCTGGGCACTGCCTTTCATGTACCATCTTGCTTAATGCTGAATTAAAAGAAATAACCTAATCTTTGAAAAAAGAAAACATGCCAAAAGCAAGTCTCAAGTTTAAGGAATGTTTGAGACCCTTGGAACTGGTCTCTTTCTTCTCTCTTCCAATTTAATCCCCTGATATCATCATCATCATCATTATCATCATCATCATCATGCTACTTTTCAAACCCATATTCTAACTCTCAGCATCCTAGAACATATGAATATCCAAGTTATTTCTCAGGTGTATCATGGCAAAGTCACACCCCATGGAAATGCTGCTGCTTAAGAATCTCCCCTTTCCAGTAGCATCCCTCCTACCCCAAGGAACAATTTAGGCAGCAATCCTATACAGTGGGAATAAGTCCAAAAAAATGCACCCATGCAAGACAACCATGTTTAAGATTGTGTCATTTTGGTGCTAGGAACATGCTTTGCACCAAGAAGTTTCCAAATTCGAATCCCCAACAGGTCCAAATAGAAAATTGAGGGCAGGTGGAGGAAATACTCTCAACCTGAAACCTTGGAGAGCGCCTGCCAGCCAGCACAGGTAACACCACCCTCCATGGACCACTGTTTGGCAAAGGAACTAACTTCCAACATCCCAATCCTCTCTCACACAAGTGTGGATGCTTTTTCAACTGACATCTAACTGCCTCATTTGCTCCAGGGAAAGCCGTGTTGTCCATATAGAAAAGTACAATAACATCCAAAATCCACAAAGCAGTGACACCTTTATGGTGCCAACCAAAATGCACAAAAGATATGTGGAAAGCTTTCCAAGCTCCACTTAATTACTTGTTATATGCCCCTGTCTCTGAAATTAGTAAGTTCAGAACTTGGAAATCACAGGCTACAAATAAGCTATATGTAATTAATTCCTTTTGTAGTAGTTAAGTTCCATTATATTTACCAGATGAAGAAGCTGGTGGAACTTCAAAAGCTTGATTTTGTGCATTTTGGTTGACCCATGTGGTGTAGCGGTTTGAACACTCGACTTTGACTCTGGGGGCCAGGGTTCAATTACCCTCTTGGCCATGGAAACCCAACAATGACCCTGGGAGAATCACATTCTCTCAGCCTCAGAAGGACATGACAAATCTCTTTTGAACAAATCTTGCCCAGAAGACCTCATGATAGGTTCACCTTAAGATTGCTATAAGTCGGAATTGAAGGTGCACAACAAAAATAAAGATATTTATTTGTGGATTTTGGATGTTTTTGTGCTTTCTCAGGATGTGTTTCAGGGAATCCTCTCCTCCTGAAAGGGATTTTTTTGTGTACCTAGAATTCAAAGACATATCTATGAAAGTTCATGCTGCTTTATCTGTATGTATTACATACACACAAAGTGCATTATCTTCATTTGTATGCTGCATTTCCTTGCAAGAAAAGAGATTCCACCTCTATATTAGGAGGAACTTCCTGACAGTGAGAGCTGTTCGACAGTGGAACACATTCCCTCGGAGATTTTGGTGGAGTTTCCTTCTTTGGAGGTCTTTAAACAGAGGCTGGATGGCCATCTGTAGGGAATGCTTTGATTTTGAGTTCCTGCATGGCAGAATGGGATTGGATTGGATGGCCCTTGTGGTCTCTTCCAACTCTACGATTCTATGATTCCTTCCAGCACAGACCCAAGGTGGCTCACAGACAAAAAACATGTTAAAAACATCACAATAAAATTCAAAACAATTAAAATAATCTAAAAACATTATAAAAATTACATGATATACAAAAATTAAAAGACATAACTAAAACACTCATACTCCATAAAATGTAGAATTCAAAGACATAGATGTCTGGAAAATCAGTATACAAAGGGATCTTGAAGCACCTTTGAGATTAACCAAAAGAGAGAAGTTGGCAATATGAGCTTTTCCTAGACGCATGTTTGGAGTGGAGGCCAGGGTTCAAATCCCAGCTGGACCATGGAAACCCACTGGGAGACCCTGGAAAAGTCAGATTCTCTCAGCCTCACATGCCAAGAAAACCCTATGATAGGGTCTCCATACTTCCTCATGTCCTAGTAAAGCTCATGCTACCAACATCTCCTTTCAGTTTGTCCCAAAAGGGTTGCAAGATCCCTTTGCCTTGTGTTTATGTGTGAGGTGGGATAACAATAACAAGGCCCAACTTCAGGGAACTGCCTCTGTGGCTGTTGTTGTGTGCCTTCAAGCTCCTTCCGACTTAAGGCGACCTGAAGGCAACCCTATCCTGGAGTTTTCTTGTCAAGATTTGTTCAGAGGTGGTTTGCCATTGCTGTCCCCGAGGCTGAGAGAGTATGCCTCACCCAAAGGCCTGCTCGGTGTCTTTGTGGTTGTCTGCCTTCAAGCTGGTTCTGACTTATGGCAACCCTAAGACAATGTTATCCTGGGGTTTTCTTGTCAAGATTTGTTCAGAGGAGGTTTGCCATGGCCTTCCCCAGAAGCTGAGAGAGTGTGTTTCACCCAAAAGCCTCCTGGGTGGCTTTGTAGTTGTGTGCCTTCAAGGGTCTTCTTGGTAAGTTTTGTGTCTTCATCTGAGGCTGAGAGAATGTGACTTCATCATCCTCTCCCATCCTAGGGTTTTCTAGTGAAGATTTGTTCAGAGATCTCCCTCTGAGGCTGAGAGAATGTTCCTCACCGAAAGGCCTCCTCAATGTCTTTGTGGTGTATCTTCAAGCCCCTTCTGATTTATGCTGACCCTATTGTGGAGTTTTCTTGTCAATATTACTTCAGGGAAGATCTGCCATGGCCTTCCCTTGAGGCTGAGAGAGTGTGATTCACTCACCCAAATGTCCCCTAGTGGGTTTCTAGAATGTGCCTCACCCAAAAGCCTCCTGGGTGTCTTTGTGGTTGTTGTGGCTCTTCAGAGGAGTTCTCCTGGCCTTCCCTTGAGGCTGAGAGAGTGTGCCTCACCAGCAGGCCTCCTGGATGCCTTTGTGGTTGTTGTGGCTGTGTCTCTTAAAGCCCCTTCTGACTTCTGCTGACCCTATCATGGAATTTTCTTGTCAAGATTACTTCAGGAAAGGTCTGGCATGGCCTTCCCTTGAGGCTGAGAGAGCGTGCCTCACCCAAAGACCTTCTGGGTGCCTTTGTGGTTGTTATAGCTCTTCAGAGGAGGTCTGGCATGGCCTTCCCTTGAGGCTGAGAGAGCGTGCCTCACCCAAAGACCTTCTGGGTGCCTTTGTGGATGTTGTGGTTCTTTCAGAGGAGGTCTCCTGGCCGTCCCTTGAGGCTGAGAGAGCGTGCCTCACCCAAAGACCTTCTGGGTGCCTTTGTGGTTGTTATGGCTCTTCAGAGGAGGTCTGGCATGGCCTTCCCTTGAGGCTGAGAGAGCGTGCCTCACCCAAAGACCTTCTGGGTGCCTTTGTGGTTGTTATGGCTCTTCAGAGGAGGTCTGGCACGGCCTTCCCTTGAGGCTGAGAGAGCGTGCCTCACCCAAAGACCTCCTGGATGCCTTTGTGGTTCTTTCAGAGGAGGTCTCCTGGCCTTCCCTTGAGGCTGAGAGAGAGTACCTCACCCAAAGACCTCCTGGGTGCCTTTGTGGCTGAGTCTCTTCAAGCCCCTTCCGACTTCTGCTGACCCCATCATAAGAGTTTTCTTGTCAAGATTACTTCAGGGAAGGTCTGTCATGGCCTTCCCTTGAGGCTGAGAGAGCGTGCCTCGCCCAAAGGTCCCTCACTGGCTTTCTGGAGACCCCCAAGAGGCGTGTA